AGCTATCTCCCTGGCCTTGTGCTTTGGGAAGGAGCTAAGGTTTGAATTTTTTAATTTAAAATTTTTTTTTTTTATTTGTGTAACCGGGGATTGAACTCAGGCCCTGGCCCTTGCCAGGCAAGCACTTATTCTACTAAGCTATCTCCCTGGCCTTGAGTTTTTTTTTAAATTAAATTTCTTCAAAGAATCATAAGATGAAAGTGTGAAAAAATTTCCTTGACACACATCTGGTTAGTTAAAAGTAATTTATACTTTGAATTATAGAATCTCAGAGAAGGAGCTATAATTTATTTCAATTACTCATTTATTTTCTAAGAATATCTTCTGTAGCATTTCCAATTGAATGATCAATGCCAGTGTTAGAGGTCAATGATTTGAAAAGATTTGAGTTTTGAGGAAAGGGAGAGCCTGCCTACAAAGTTGGGGCCATGGAGAACATTGTTGCTAAAAAGATTAACATTCAAAAGAAACCAGATACTTTGCATCAGGACAATAGGACAAATGGATTGAAGACGTCTCAGGAATCAGCAAGACCCCCTTGTTTTGCAGGATTAAAGGTATAAAGAAAAAAGAGCATCTGGTCCCCTTACTTGAGGAGGAGATTAGATCTCCAGGATTCTTCGCATAGTGCTTGATCATCCATATACACAGAGGCCTTCGCTGCCATGCTCCAAGAGGGCCTGGCTACTGCTTCAACTGGCAGCATTCATGTAGTGCTGGTTTTACAGACATGCAGAATATGTGAGAGGGCCTTGGGGAAGCATCCAGCTGGATTTCTTTCTTTTTTTTTTTTTTAATAGTTATTTATTTATTTATTTAGTGTCTGTGTGTGGCCAGCTCAGCCCACCAGGGGGCAGGGCTGGCTGGCATGTGGTGCTGGGGGATTGAACCGTGGTCCCTGTGCTTTGCTAAGCTTGTTCTAAGTAGGTGCTTTAGACCACTGAGCCATCTCACCAGCCCCCATCCAGCTGGATTTCGGAGGAAGGCTTTGGAGTGTGAGGGAATGTGCCCCAGAGAAGGCAGTGCACGAAACTATGAAAGTAAAGTGAAAGTGCAGTGCAGCCCCCATAAGTTGGAGATGTTAGAAACATGGAACATACGCGGAGGAAAGCAGGCAGTGAATGGAGTCACTCAGGGCAATGAATGAAATCACCCTGAGAGGATGCAAGGTACAACCAGCAAGGTTATAGGGTTGATGTTGCCTCAGCACTTTGAAATTTATATATCACAATTCTCTGGAACTACTACACTTAATGTTTGCCTCGCTGAGTTTTGGTCTTGCTTTGTTAATTCCTTTTTACCTCTCTATTCTTTTTGGAATGGAAATGTTTACTTTGTGCCATTGTATATTGGGTATGTTTAATTTTCTTTTTGCTTTTTTAAAAGGCCTCACTGCTAACAATTTGTCTTAAGTCTTAGAGGAATTTTTGGACTTAGAATTTTTAGTAATGCTGACACTGTGAAAACTTTTCTGGCTCTGAGGTAGACTAAGTGCATTTTGCACAGTGAGATGAGCATGAATCTGTTAGGGGCCAGTTGCAGAAATTTTTGGTAGATGTACAAGTCCTCATGTATTTGAAAGTGACTGGATTGTAGGGTGCTCTACTCACAGAAGGTTCACTCGTTGAGTACAACAGCTAAATATGCTGTTGAGTGGGGGCCTGGTTGGAGGCTGGTCACTGGGGGCATGGCCTGGGAGGGTGCATCTCTTGGTCTGACTCCTTGTTCTGTTCTTCCTGGCTGCCATAGGTGGAGCACCTTCTTTTGCACCATGCCTCTCTGTTCTCCTGTTTCTGCCTTGAAACCAGCTAATCACTTTAATTGCAGATATCAGTATACAGAGTTAGTTAAGGTGAGAATTATACACATTAATTGCTACTTTCAAAAACATACGGAAATTTTTAGTGCAATCACCTCAGCCATCCTGTATATATACTTGCTACATCAAGGACAGCAATGTGTATTACAAAAACTGTGCTTGAGTACTTGCCATCTTCGACTTCTAAATGTGTACCATTTCTAATGTCATATTATTATAATACTCTCTTTAAAATAAATTTTAAAAGTAAAAAAAATGAGAGACAAGAACAAAAATTGAAGGTTTCTTGAAAGCAAGCGGTAAAATGCAATCATATGTCCAGTGTTACATAACGATGTCTGTTAATCAGAGCAACAGATTTGATGATAAAAATAAAATATCAACCACTGTTAGGTAGATATTCTTGTTTTGAAAATCTGTAACATATGTACTATTTTTTTTTTTTTTTTTGCGGAACTGGGGATTGAACTCAGACCTTTGCGCTTGCCAGGGAAGCACTTATTCTACTGAGCCATCTCCCTGGTCCCCATATGTACTATTTTTTTATGTCCAAAAGATTTTATTTTATTTTTTTTTTCTTTTTAAACATTTATCTTCTAGAAAAGATAAATAACATATAAAGAAGCTGTTAAAATTGTTCTTGAAAACTAATGTATTCTTCAATAGTGCTAGCCCCATAAGACAAGTCAACTGCTTTTAATACATTCAGCAGATATCTGTCACCTAAATAAAATACCAATTCCTGAATGGAAATGTCAGCACAGAACATCACTTGTTAATGTTGATTTATATAACTTATTGTACATTCATTCTGATAAGGTGGAATTTTTTTCCCCATAGTTTTATTGAGAAACAAATAGCAATGAGACAGTTTCAAACTAAATTGGTAGGACATTTTCAATAATTAATACATTGCATACATTCTTCCTAGTGGTTAATTGCTGTACAAGATGTGGACATGATATCCTATTACAAACACTATTAGAACAAATCCCTCTGTTCATTAAGAAAATGTAACTATATATCTATTCTAACCATTTTGAATACACAGATATAAAATGGACATTCATCTGTATCCCCTTTTTTTGTTTAGTTCCGTTATTTGAATCTTATAGGTGTGTTAATTCAGCAAAATATTCTAAAAGAGTCCAGTAGCCCATAATAGTATTGGGTCTTCCGCTTCACTGGCAATGTCAAAAGTTGTTGACCTGAGTCCCCTACAGCTCAACATAACAGCTTGGCTTTACTTCTTATACTTCATTTTTATACTTTTCTGCTGGATGGTTAAGACCAAGATAAAGCAAGACAGACCTATGCAACAAGAGTTGTAGCTTTTGGGTCTGATAAGGTCAGTGAAATCCCCTCAGGATTTATCCTGAGA